GTCAAATAAAAACTGCGTGTGACGCAACGTGGGCGGAGTCAAATGAAAACTGCGTGTGACGCATCATGGGTGGAGTCAAATGAAAACTGCGTGTGACGCATCATGGGCGGAGTCAAATGAAAACTGCGTGTGACGCAACATGGGCGGAGTCAAATGAAAACGTAACCTGACGCATAATGGGCGGAGTCAACTGAAAACGTTACGTGACGCGTCGTGGGCGGAGTCAACTGAAAACGTAACCTGACGCATCGTGGGCGGAGTCAAATGAAAACGTAACGTGACGCATCGTGGGCGGAGTCGAATGAAAACATCATCATGTGATGCGTCGCAGCATTAGTGGAATCAAATAAAAACGTGATGCGTCGTGGGCGGAGTCAATTGAAAAATGTTTTCCCATGATATGTTGAGTGTTAGCAATTTAGTTTTGATTGTCTAGGATTCTGGAAGATGCATGGCCAAACAGAGAGTATGAAATGTTGAGAACAATTCAAAGAAAGAAACCTGGAAATTTGAGCTCATTTGGATTTTTTTTTTTTTTAGATTTTCTTTTAAAGTTTGGAGGCCAGGTGAAACATTTTTCACATTTTTGTAAATAAAGCCCCCACACTTCAACCAACCATGACCGTATCAGATACCATATGAGGTAGGATGTATGTGGTGTTAGTATGTGCAAAGTTTGGCAAAAATCCAAGCTGCGATTTTTGTGTAACAAATTTCGCCATTTTACAGCTCCACCTAAAGCTGGACAAAATACTAGCTAGATATTGTCAATATTGTGTTTCTAATTGGCAGTTTGAAGGAAATTGTGGATTTTTTTTTAACAGTTTTAAAATTATGATTTAAAATGTAGCTACGTTTGTGGTAATATTTTATTAAGTTGTAATTGGGCAAAAAAGAAAATCCACCGCCATAACTTTTTTGTTTCTTCCTTAGTGCATATGGTGCCAGGTTTTATTTTTGATTCTAGGGGTGGAGTTGGTTTTGGTTAATCCAGATTTCATGGCTCTGGTGGGAAATATTCCAGACCAATAACTTTGGCACAGATCTGTTGGAGAATCTATCTAAGAAACGTATCAGTTTTGTTAATGTGATTAATAAGTTTGGAGTTATAAGCTGAAGTTATAGCGCCACCTACAGATGGAAGTGGCTGAATATGTGCATCTGAGTTGTGAATGCTGAACCTGGAGTTGCATTGGTCGTTCGCTCGCTCGCGTGGGCTCAGAACCCTGAATATAAAGGTCATCAGGTCAAGCTCTCTTCTGACAGATAAGTGTTTTTTCCTAAACTTCCTGCAGATTAAGACAACAACCTGTTCTCAGCTCTTTAGATTTTTTTTTATCAAGTAACGTTGACATTTACAAACATGTCTTGCAGTCAAGTGTGAGAGACACCAAGAAGTAAAAATGACATTTTAAAGTTGTAATTTTATGCTAAACTGCTTTTTTGCAAGAACAGATTTGCGTTTTTTTTTCTTTTCTTACCTGATCATTTATCGTTTGAACGCCTCCCATCTGCCAAAGTTCATTTTAAAGCATTGGCCATCTACCGAAAAGCAGCTAAATTTGAGCAAAATCCTGAACAATTTGAGGACGCTGCCAAAGTAGCTTTCACTTCCTTTCACTTCTTGTGGTTGTTTCTGGATGCCTGAAATATCTCTTTAGTAATTTGTCAATATGAATATTTGTCATTACACCATCGTTCGTTATCAGGGTTAGCATCTGGTTTCTGTTTACGGTTTTATCTGTTCAGCCAGGAAAGTTTGGCTTTGTGTACTTTCTCCAGATAGCCAACATGCACAGGTGCAGAAGAGCATGACAGAATGGGCTTTTTGTCTTTTGCATTTTGAATTGACCAGCTGACCAATCAGAGCAGGCCAGGTTTTTAGGACGGAGCTCTTAAAGTGACAGGAGCAGAAATGTGGTACTGCTTTAGGAAATCTAAACAACAATAAAATAAATAAACTTCTGCTTCTGCACAAGACAAAACAGATTTTGTTTTGTGTCAGACTTTCATTTTGGGCCGTATCGGTTGTATCAGATTGTACAGATGGGACACATTAACAATTGGTTGTTGTTTTTCTGATATTTTGCAGTTAAAATCAGAAAATTTAAAAACATTTGAAAGAAGTTTTGCGCCATATTGTGTCAGATGATAACTGACATTTTACTTACCATATGGATCGCAGGCTAAAGTTGAGATTAAATAAGGAAGCGGTGGAGTAGAAGTAAAAACTACTACCATGTTAGTTTTTGAACATTTTACAGAAAATTTGCAATGAATTCATAATTATACATTACCGCAAAAAAAAAAAAAAAAAATGACAATCTGGTTATTTTCCAAGAATTTCAGCAATTGTGGAATCATGAAAAACCAAAGACACTGGTTGTTGTAATTTGGGGTGTAGACGTTTCTATAGGGCCACATAAAAAGCTACGGTGGGCTGGATTTGGCCCCCGGACCTTGCGTTTGACACCTGTGCTCTAAATGAAGCCCATTTATCAGTTGTATTTTGATCATTAGATGACTATTTTTCCATTTCCTTGTTGCAAATCATTTTGCATGTTTCCATTCTTTCACTGCATAGAAACCAGCCACAATACACACCTTCATCTCCCCCCTGACGTTTATCAAGGCGACTCCCTTCTTTTGTAACCTGCTAACGTTTTTGGTTTCAGTCCAGTTTGTCGACACTGTAAAAAAACAGAGTCAGCGTTGTTTCATGTGAGCAGACGGGGAATCCTTCACCCCCAGGGCTTCCTACTCTTCTTCACTCACCCGGGTGCATTCTTGTGTTAACTGCACTAACTGGCTGAGCCACTGACAACCTGATATTTGCAGCGGTGGAGGCGGGAAAAAGAGAACAGGAAGTGCTGTTATCTGTGGACAAACATGGGGAAAGGCTAAAATGTGACGCCATTCCTGGCTTCTTTCTGCGTAGCTTCAAAGCCAAAGAGTCATGGAGTCGGAGCGGATCCCGCCGGGATCGGCATGCGGTCCCGGGGCTGAAGAGTCGACAGGTAGATCACCGGGAAGCCACAGCTACAGCTCCGCCTTGCAGGACAGTTTATCAGCGATTCAGGCGTCGCTGGAGCAAAGTAACATTTTACAGGTGAGTTTTAACTGGTTTTAATGCAAAACCTGAACACAGCTTCTGTCCTAAACTGAGTCACAAATATTATCTCTTATATTTGTGCACATATAATGCATCACTTTTTGAAACAAGTTCAAGTCTCTGTTTCCAAATGAAGGGTTAAATCATTTCTGAATGCATGTCAGAGTGAGAAGAAGAGAGTTGACTGATGTTTGTGTTTTCCCATGATGCTGCCTAACAGGAAGGATTTATGAGAGAGTCGTTTCCCGTGGAGTCTTTAGTCTAATTACACTTCACACAGATCAAGATAAAACAGCAGTTATGTTAGAATAATTACATTTTATGTGATTTTTCGAGAACGTTGATATTTGATATCAATATTCATAATGATTCTTGACTTATTTATGTCTAAAAGTGAACAATTTAAACTGCTTCTTTTGCAAAAAAGTTCATAACTGAAGTGGAAAACATTTTATGAATAAAAATCTCAAAAGTGTGGTGTGATTTTTTTACTCATCTGCACTTACACTGCAAAAACACAAAATCCTACCAAGTATTTCTGGTTAAACATAACTAAATATTTTTGTACACTTGAAATGAGACAGACTAACATAAAAGTAACGTTTCAACAGTGTTTTAAGTAAATAATTCCTTAATATTTATGAAAAAGTTCTAGTTCTATTGGCAGATAAATTAACTTATAACATGTGAAAGTTTATTTTTATAAGTTAAATAATCTGCCAATGAAACCATGATAAGGAATTATTTACTTAAAACAAGCTCTTATATTGGCTAAACAGTTACTTGTAAGTTAGTTTTGTCTCATTTCAAGTTTATTTTAAGATTTTTGCACTAGAAACTAGACCAAATATACTTGGTAAGATTTTGTATTTTTGCAGTGTACAGCTGCAGGTTTTGGGTTTAGTCAGATTAGATGGAGAGCGTTTGTAAAAGTCACATTTTAAAGCTTTATAACAGATTTTTAAGTGATTTATGGTGTAAATTGTGACTCTGCCATGCCTTAGGCTTTCAGTTGTTCCTTGCAGTTTTTTCAGATGGTTTATTAAACTTTATTCCATGAGATGTTCAGGAATTGCTTCATAAGCTTTGCCATAATTTTATATTCGACCTGTCTGCTGTTTTTTGGTCTTCATTTATCACTGCTGCTGTCTGACAAACCTCAGGCATTCACATGACAAGTGGGAATAAATTACACACAGTATTACAACATGCACTCTGTAATTATGTGGCTTCCAAAGGCAAATTGCTTCTCTGAGTTTTCCTATAGGAGGGTCAGAGAGCTGCAGGTTGACTCCAAATGCAGGATTAATTTGTAAAAAATGTGAAAACTAGGCACATTTTTTCCAGTTTTTATGCTACTTTGTTAGGGATTTTAACATAAAATCCAAATATAACACTTTAAAATTTATAGCTGGAATATGGAAAATTACCATCATCTGCTGTTTCTTTGTCATGAGATCATATTAATATCACTTTACTTCCTCTGTTGACTTTGTTGCTCTAAGGTTATCAGAAGAAATAGATTTTATGTGCACCTTAAGGTTCATTTTTTCTTTTTTTCTTAGAAAATGCCTCATATGGACCTGAGTTGGTACCTGACATCCTCACCTGGTGATGCAGACGTCCGATTAGCACGGACGGTTCAGCGTGTTCTTGCTTGCCGATATCAGCCTGCACGCCTCAGTGCTGCAGCTATGGACAAACAGCTGCAGGAAGCGCAGGTATGTGAATTATTCCATCACATTTTACTTTACTCTCCTTTGTCAAAACTTTTTTTTCCTGTAAAAAAAAAAACGTTTAAGAACTGATTTTTCTCAAAATTGATCAAAAACATTGGGTTTAAGTGACTGCCTCCTCAGCCTTACTTGATGTCAAGTGATTAACAAAAAGTCACATAAGTGCAAATATTATGAAAAATTCCCTACAAATCTCTCTACATTAGAGCCACAAAATCTGTGATTTTGATTGCAAAAAAAAACACAAAAACAATCACAAAGTTCTGGATGGACTGACCAGCGTGAAAAGATGTTTAATATTATTTAATTTTAAGAAACACTTACTGAATGCTGAAACAAACAGCTGTTAACAGTTTAATGAGTTTTATCAGTACATTCTGGCACAGCCGGCCCTTTAATTTTTATGACTGCAACATCTAATGTTGAAAACCTGGAGTTTTTGCTTTTGATTTAGCTTTTGCCAAACTAATCTTGAGCTTTTCTTTCCCTGGCATTGTGCTTCCTTTAGGAGTACAGGCGGTCCGTGCAGGAGCAAGTGGCTTCCATTAAAAGCAACGTGACAACGGTTTCAGACCCGAAGGCTTCAGAAAGAGCGGAGGCAGAGTGGAGCTCAGCCCTGCTGGATGCCTCTGCCACAGTTCAGGTCAAAGCAGCTCAGCTGGATCTGGTCAAGCAGTATCACCTGCAGAAGAAGAACGCCAGAGCCTTCCTTGAGGTCGTAGCGGCGGAAAAGGAAAAGATGAGCTTGTAAGCGACCAATTATGCAAAATTCACTTTTGCATGTTTTTTTGTTTTTTTTTACATTTTAATTTGCATTTCTGCTGCTTCTAAAACCAGAAAAAGCACTTAAACACAGGTAGTTTTTGGCATTAAGTTGATGTTTTTATTGTCTGGAAAATGAACCATTTCAAAATTTTAAGTCACACTGCGACATTACCTAGCAACCCAAGCGGAGTTCCAGTACATTTGTTCAGCTGGTTTTAATGCTGTATGGGCTGTACAATGGCTGCTGGAAAAGACAAGTCTTTTGTTGTTGACTTACCACTTGCTGCATTTTTGTTGGTTGTGCAGGAGGCTCCACTTCTGCTTTTCAAAGATGTATGGTTATATAATTGCACATATGTTTGCAGCCATTTTCACTGTGAGTGTAAACGTTGATTGGGGGGCGTGGCCAGCAGCAGCTTATTTGGATTTAAAGGGACAGTTCCCTAAAACAGCTCATTCTGAAAATAATTCAAATTGGCAGAATCTGAGCAGAATAAAATCTCAATTTGTATAAAAAAAAGTAATGTTTTTTATAAATCTGTTCAAGGAAGCATAATAGGTCATGTTTAAATTATTTTATCGTGTCTTTTATAATTGATGTGTTAATCTAATATCATTTTGTGTTGGTTTTACTTTTTTAGGAGTGTTTTGGGAAGCAGTTCCTTTCAAGAGGAAAAACTGAATGCGTTGCTGCTAACCATGGAGCAGAAGAAGTCAACGCTGGAAGGTTTGCTCTGCCTAAGCAGCCAGTTGTCGGTCCACCTGAGTGATGCGGAGAGTTCAGGTGTTCTCGTTGCTCAGCTTGGTGACATCCAGGAGGAATGGAGGCTCCTTAAAGGAAGCATCAGAAGAGCTCATCAACAGGCGTCAAATTCTGCATCTCAGTCAAAACTCGTTTTAAAAGAGGCTGCTGAGCTTAAAGCCAAACTTGAAGCTCTTTTAAAATCTGAAACTGACAATATAAGTTGTTTAGACTTAGCTTGTCTGACCACAGAGCTGAAAGTTTGCAACCAGCTTCTCCTGCATTTAGAGTCCCAGGCTGGTTCCCTCACCTGCTTTTCGCTGGGTCAGAAAGAAAAGGCTGCGATTGAAGAAAAGATTCAGGACCTGAAGACTTTGCTCCGTGTCACTAAAGAGAAGCTCAACTCTTTGCCAGAAATCTGTGGAAGCGGATCTACTAGTAAAATCAACAAGCAACTACAGGACTTGATCAATTTGACAAAACAAGCAGAAAACCGAGTCTTTTCTGGGAAAAAGTTGTCTGTTTTTCCTGAGCAGGCTCGTCTTCAGTTTGAAGAAATGAGGGAATTTCACATGGAAACTTTATCTAGACGAAGCAAGATGCAAATGCAGGTTGGAGAGCTAAAGAGTAAAGCTACCGAAACGGAAAATCAGGAGTTAATAAAGACCGTAGAGCTGTATGAAACAGTTGCTGACAGGTTGGGTCGTGTTCTTGAAGCCATGAAAAAGGGTCTTGATGAAAGAGGGAAGGTTATGTGTGAGTTTGGTAGGTTGGATGTCTGGGTAGCAGAAACGTATATGAAAAGAGAGACCTGCACCAACGTCGAGAACGTTTCAAAAGCTGACCTCAGTGAATTGGAAATGGAGCTAAAAAGTCATCGATCAGCAGCAGTAGAGCTGGAGACCCAACTCAAATTAGTGGACGCACTTTCAGAGAGTTGCACAAAATTAGCCGTTGAGCTGAGTCCGGCTGAGAGCCGCTACCTCGGCAACAGGCTTTTAGGCCTTTGGGCAGAATTAGACAGACTGCTAGCTCATGAGAAAGCCACCTGCTGGGAATTAGAGGAGCTAATTCATGAGAGAATGTCCTCCAAAGAGGGGTTAGCTGCCATTCAGGCTAACTTGGAGCAAACATTTGCTGATCTGGAGAAGCAGAAGTTCCCTTTGACCAAAGAGACGCTGTTAGTTATCACCCAGTTGGAGCACAAGCTAATGGAGCATCAGTGGGAAGTTCAAGAGCTGCAGCATTGCCAGGAGGACCAGAGAAACTCTGTGCTCTGCGCTATTAGTGAACTGCAAGACCAGTGCAAAGCTCTCAGAATAAACGCCATGGAGCAACAGAGATATGTTTACCACAGAGGACAAATGGAGGAATTCATGAAAATCGCCCAAACTCAACTCCAGGAGGCTAAAAACCAATCGGTGAGCGCGGCGGAGAGGTTCAGATTGAGCCAAACACTGCTGGTCGAACTCGCGATGGTCAACACCCAATGCCAAGAGACGGCGGATCATCTGGAGGCGATCGCCCGTGAGTTAGAGCCGTCCGAGCTTAATGCAGAGAAGAAGAAGCTCCATGACATGGTGGAAACGCTGATCTGCTGGGAGCAATCTGCCACAGATCAAATCAAAAATCTGGAGGCCGAGCTTTTACCGGGTCTCCAGTTTGAATTTGAGCTTCCGCTGCTGATGGATCTGTTGCAGAGAGCCAACAGGCAGCTGGAGGAAAACAAACAAGTCAAACCCGATGAGAAAGCAATAGATGATGCAGTGATTCAGTGTTGGGTCATCAGGAGAAACGTAGAGTCTGGGATGAGAGTGTTGGCAGGTCTGGCGCAGAGAGACAACGTTAACCTGGAAGACTGCAATGAGCTGAATTCCCTCAGAGACGCAGTAATGCAACAGTCCGACTCATGGATGGTAAGGCGGCCAATACCGTAAAGCTGCAGACAAAACAAATATGCTTTTTACTTATAAACCTGTCACCATGTGATGACAATCTGTGAAAAGATCAATCTTTCCTGAGCTACTATTGCCATCTGACAGAATACACCAAAAACAACCAATCAGAGCCAGGAGGCGGGTCTTAGCGCTGTCAATCAACATCCTGTACTGTGGAAAATATCTGTTCTCCATGCTAAGTTCTTGATGTGTGAGGTTGAAGAAGAGTCAATGAGTTGAATTCATGAATTACATTTATTAACACCAAAATACAGCTGGTCCATTTCTCATGCTACCTTTAGGAGCTAGCAGGACAAAATGGCATCAAACAAAAGTTCTCCATTCTCTTTGTTAGCCTCTATGTAAGCTGTAAGTAGTGTGTCATATCCTCTAACTTTAGCTTTGATGGAGTTCCTAATATGCCATTTCCTTTAGCTTTAGCTTTGCAGCTAGCTAAAAGAGATAGAAGGAAAACACAGAATTATTATTCTCAACAGTACTCACTGTTAAAGGTGCTAATGAAGGCAAAACAACTTACTGTTAATGGAAAACATTAACTACAGAAGCTATGTTAGTTACCAAAGTGATTGACAGCATTAAGCCCCGCCTCCTGGAGCTGATTGGGTGTTTCCAGCTAGCACCAGGAAAAGACAGAGGAACTCAATCTTTTCACAGAAACTGTCACAACTTAGTGATATATAGTAAGTTACACACTGCAGCTTTAAATGGTTTTTATTCACCCATTTGGAAGATTTCTTTAACATTTTGAACGTGTCCAACAGGTCGGTCTGTCTCAGGCCAGGGAATCCCTTAAAGATTACCAGTGGGCTGCTCAGGGAGCCATGAACTTCCTCCATAATGCCGAGGCGACCTTCCTGTCAGCTCCCGGAGGCTTTTTGGATTGCACCCAGGAGCAAAGACAAACCCAACAGGCTTTGGAAACTCTTGAAGTTGGCTTTCAAGCTCACATAAACCACCTGATGGAGCGAGTGCCGCAGGAACGCTGCCTCTCACGACCGGAGACCGAGCTCCTTCACATCAACGTCCTCAGCCAGTTGTTGGTTGGAAGAGCTGTACTGGAGGCTCAGGCAAAACTCAGAGTGGAGCGTCTGCAGAGGTACCACGCCTCACTATGTGTCTGAGATGTATTTATATGCTTGTTTTGTTTACACTTCCTGTTCTTACAGGTGTGAAGTCAGACAGAGAACCCATAGAAAGTGGCATGAAGACGTTAAACAGGAAGTGTTGCAGTTTGAAGCCAAACTTTCAGGATATGCATCAGAGAAAGTCACATCGTATGATGAGTGTATCGATCAGAAGAAGAGAGTGAAGGTGGGTCAGATGTGGAAAATCTGCTAGAGCCTTGAAATAGAGATTTAGGGAGTTTTCACACCTGATACTCCGGTAGACTCGGTTCAACTGGGAACCAAAATGGAAACATTTGCTACATTTTCAGTTAGTGTGGTCAAACCAACCAAAGCTTTCGAAAAAACCTGTTCCCCTCCTCACCTGCGGGGGCGCTGCACCAAGAACAACTGAAGGAAAATGTGAACAAAAATGGAGAAGTTAAATTAAAGCGAACTAAGCAGGGCTGGTGTGAATGCTTAAATAGTTACCGCTCTGTTTCAAGTTGCCTACGTCCTGTGATTACAATTTTTAATTCTTATTATGTACTTAATTTTACTATGCATTTAAATTTTGTCTCTGTTTTTGCATTAAATTATGTAAGGTGACCTTGAGTGTCGAAAGACGCCTAAAAATAAAATGTATTATTCTTCTTCCTCTTAAGAGATATTATTGTTTGATGAGAGTTTAATTCAGGCTGGTGTCTTTGTGAAGGTTTTAAAGGAAGACCTTCGTGACCTCGCTGGGAAGATGGTTGACCTGAGAGCTGGATGTCCAACGCAGGGTTGTGGCGTGGGGAAGGACGGCGAGCATGGCGCCCTCTGGAGGCGCTGGACGTCATTACGGCGGCGTTTGGGCCTCCTGTTGGTGCAGACACAACAGAAGGAAGAGGAATGGAAGGACATCACGACAAGTGTGGGTGTCATCATCAGCAAATCACCTTCATGCAGAAAGTAATCGTCATTTAGGCTTTGATGGTAATTACTGACGGTTTAATTCTGCTTTCCTTAGATGGAGGAGAGTTGCAGCTGCTTGTCCGGTCTTCAGGCTGAACTTCCAGACTCTTCCACTGTGAGTTTCTCTCAGGAGGAACCTCAGGAGCTTCTGGCCCAAATGGAGCAGCAGCAGCTGGCCTTATCGTCCCTGAAGCGCCGACTGGAGCAGGCGTTGGGCTCATCATCTTCCCAAGATGGCATCCTGCCTGGGTCCGCCTGGAAATCCCTGGAGAAAATCCAAGAGAGCATCTGGAGGTGGGATTTCTTAAATCTGACTTTGTAGAATGATGGATCCAGCTGAAAGGTAAATGTTTTTACAACATCATTGATCCCCACAGCTTGAAAGAGAGATACCTGCTTCTGATGGCTGCAGCGGAGGAAGAGGAGGAAGAGAGACGGCGAGCTGAAGAGGAAATACGAGACGTTGAGAAAAAAGTGTTTGAGATTTTACCAGAACTGGAAACGAGTTCAGATCCAAGCAAAACGCAGGTCGGCTCATTTCTTATGCTTCATTAATGCATATAAACAGAAATACTAAAACAGAGCTTATAACAGATTGAGAGTTCGTGTTTTTCTGGAACTCAAGTGGAAATTTTAAACAATTCAATGCATTTTCTGAAAGCATCTAGAAACCAGAACAGTTATTTAGTTGAGTAACTTTATTTTGAAATGTTAAAGATTCATAGGTTTTTTATTGAAACAATTTGATTTGTAAAAGCATTTATTTTGCATAATTTTGTTATTTTGTGTTTATGTTATTTATATATTTTGGTCTATAAAATACCATAATTTACACACATTTTTCTATTTTGTCCGTCCGATTACATAATTTTTAAATATTAAAATATTATTATTTAAATATAATTGTTAATTTTTGTATATGTTTTTTTTACTTTTCCTTGATTCCAGTTTTTGCCTTTGTTTGTGACACATTGTGTCTCATCTTGTTTCCATGTTGTTCTGCCCTTAAAGGAGCTCCAGGAAAACGTTATCTCTCTAAAAACCCAACTTAAACACATCCTGGACGCCTTGGGGAGCCGACATGCAGAAATCCCGCCAGATATCCGAACAAAGATCCAAAATGTGGAACAATCCGTCCAGAAAGCAGAAGAAATGGTGACATTAACTTCCATCTTTCCCGACACATGAATCGTCTTCCACCAAAACCGTTTTTTCCAGACCGTTTGTTTTTTATCCAGCAGCTTTTGGAGACGGACAACCCAATCAGGAAGCTTTCACGCAGAGTCAGGGAGCTGGGTTCTGGTCTGGAGAGAGTGACATCTTTACTGGAGCAGAAAAGCCCAACAATCAGAGAGGCTCAACGTGTCCTGAAGGTCTTTATGTCTCCATTTTGTATTTTTCTCTGTTTGCTTGAACATCTTTTTGATAATTTCATAAAATCTGATTTTTTCCCCACATGTTCAAATTCCATTCCCTGCTTTTAATCAATGGATTTAACCCTTTTGGTGCCTGGAACTATTTTTATTGCTCAAGAAGCAAAGATTTGTGCTTCAGGTTGTTTTGATTGTCCTCCAGTGTGTGTGGGACGAACTGGACGCCTGGCACAGCAGCTTGATGCTCCTGGACAGCGAAGTGCAGGACGTTGCGGAGGACCAGCCGGATGAGGCCCAGCTCCTCATGGACCAGCTCACAGAACCGCTGCAGCTCTATCAGAACGCATCCCGCCTGGCTGAGAACCGAACCGCCTTCCTCAACAAGGTCTCCTCCTCCTCCTCCTCAGATTTCTACACTCAGCTCAGCTAGCACTGAAAAACATCATCAACTACATAAAAACGTTTAATGTTTTTATTTTCCTCTCTGACTTCAGATTCCCGCCTGCCTGCAGGAGTTTGAAGACATTTCTCACCGAGCCTCCTGCTGGTTGGATGAGGCCCAGTTATGGCTTGGCACTCAGTGCAACTTTACAACAGCCAAAAGTCTCAGCAATCATGTCAAGTATTTACAGGTTAGAGATCCACAAAATCTCTCTCTGGTCTTCAAATGTCAGCCTTTTTTCACCCATACAGTGGAAGACAGGGCATCTTTTATACAAAATTCACATTTTCACTGTTTTCATACTTCCATTTGGCTCTCTGCCGCTTCTAAAAACAACCGAAGTGTTTAGAAAAAAGACCAGGATGTTTTTTGTTGTCTTTAAAATGAGCAAAAATTGTTAAGTAACATTCAACAGGCACTGCGTCGTTACCTAGCAACCCCAGACCGAGCCCAGTGCCGTTACCTAGCAACCCCGACCAAGCTCCAGCACGTTTGATCAGTTTGTTTAACCGCTGTACAATGGCTGCTGGAACAGACAAGTGTTTGTTGTTGCCTTACCATTCATAAACCACTTGCTGCATTCTGTTTGGTTGTGCAGGAGGCTCCTCTTTTGCTTTTCATAGATGTACTGTTGCATAATTGCACATCTGTTTGTAGCCATTTTCATGTGCGAGTGTAAACGCTGAGTTGGGGGCGTGGCCTGCAGCAGCTTATTAGGATTTAAAGTGACAGAGACCAAAAACAGCTCAAAATAGGCAGAACTGGGCAGATTAAAATCTCATACTCAAAGAATTTCATTTACAGGCCATAAATCTATCCCAGAGAGACAGAATTACCCATTGATTTATCAGTAAATACGAAGATTTAAATCAGATATTACACTTTGCACATTTTGCCCCAACCGTTTAACTGGCTGTGATATTTTTGCTTTTTTCTTTTTAATTGAAATTTCTGGAATAGTTGATGCTGGAAGACTCTGACAGGATCAGACACACCCTGCAGGTGTTTAAGTCGGGCCTGGTGGAGATCTCTGCTGTGTGTGACGTCAGCGCTCAGGAGGAGAGGCTGGACCAGAGAGACCAACAGGTCCAGGAGATGCAGCAGACCATCGTCGAGCCGCTTGACCAGCTCCAGGAGGCTGCTGCGGTAAAAACCCAGAAATAAAAGCACTTTTTCATGCTAACGCTAGCACTGAAAGCTCCCACCCTACTGACATTCGTCTAAACTGAAGCCAGTTTCTTTTGCAGATAGTGGAAGTGGTTGAAGCTGACATTAAGGCAATGGAGAAAAACGTCTCCAAATTCATAAACGTTTTAAACTGCATGGATGATGCAGACGTAACGCAGGCAGAACGTGAGGTAAAACTCTGCTGACGAAGATTTGATCGTTTGTTTGACAGTTAAATGCTTCAGCTCGGTTAGAACTGATGCATTTTCTGACTAATGTGGACGTTTTAACTCTGGTTTAACTGTGTTTTGCACCTTAAGGAGATCCTGACCCAGATCCAGTTGATGCAGAAGAGTTTGGAAGACATGGAGAGCTGGAAAGAGGAGGTCCATCTCCCCGAAGGAGCAGAAAACCTGGTGATCTTCTCCAAAGCCAGGACGCTGCTGGAACAGCTGGATGGGCTGGAGCAAATCACCAGAGAGAAAAGGCGTTTGCTGGAGGTACGGCACGGTTTAGGACGGGGATTATGTCAAAACGCAGTCAGGAAAACCTTATATAAGCAGTACAAAAGTTAAAACATTCAAAAGTGTGAAGGATTATTAAATAAAATGGCTTTGTGTGTTTTGAGTAACTCCTTGATTGTTCCATGTGTGAAATATTTGAAATATACCTAGTCTTCGATTACAGGTTGGCAGCTTGTTTGGTTTTTTTGATGACAAGAATGAAGTAAAGCAGAAATCTGTGTTTTTATATGTCCATTTTCTTCAAATAACACAACAAATATTGAAACTGGCGTGATCTTTTTTTTTTTTTTTACTATTCTTGACAAACAGAACAAAAAGGAAGAAGAAGAAACGACTGAGAATCTTAATATCATCTCTGATTCATCTGAAGAGATGCCGCTGCTGGAGAACCCTGCACACAGACGCTTTTTCCAGGTAACAATAATGACAATATTAGATAAAGAGAAGCGTCTGACAAGCCGTGATTCATTTAAAACTTTTCATTATCTGAGAATTTTGATTGTCATACACTGAAAAGCTGGCAGGACTTTTAAATTCGATGTTTGAGCTTTTCACGCTTTGTTACGTCTGTTTTCTGGATTTATCTGAATCTGCTTATGAACAGTTTTACTAAAAATATGAAGTTAAAAGGGAAGTTAATCAATTCATTGAATTTTAGTTTTGCAGGTGTGTATTGAATGCTGCGAGTCACATGTGCCAAATTATTTAATACGTTTCATTAAAGAAGCTTTCAGGTCAATAATTATTGAATATTGACTAAAAAAGCAATACTGGCAGATTATTTCACTTATAACATGTGAAAAATGTTTTGTTACAAGTGAAATAATCTGCCAGTGGAACTAGAACTGGGTTGCTAGGTAACGGGCTGGGCATGGCTGGCGTTGCTAGGTAACGGGCTGGGCATGGCTGGCGTTGCTAGGTAACGGCGCCAGTGGAACTGGAACTTTTTATGCAACTTTATATACATATATATATATATATATATATATAAAAAAATATATATAGATAAAAAACAGTTACTACTGTATTTTTTTTATTTTAAGTAGATAAAAAACAGTTACTACTTTATTTTTTTATTTTGACTTAAAAAAAACCTTTAAATTTTCAGACTACCTAAATCTTGCCAACGTTGTTCTTCTCATATTTTTTCTCCTTCTCTAACAGTTTGTTATTAAATGAAAGTTACTTCCTTCATCACTGTATGGAAAATAGAAAATAATATACTGGACAAGCTACTCCATCCAAAATGTTATTAGCAATAGAAATATAACCTTAAGAGATAAAGTTTATAAATATATATATGCCTGAGATTGATGTAAATATGACTGAATATAAATAAATAACTAAATAAATAAGCACATATAAATAGGTTAATCTATAAATGAGTGCAGAGAAAATTAGATTAAATTAGCTTGAAATATTGAAATATTAGATAAAAATATATTTTTATTCATAAATATATACATAAATATATTAATACTTACTAAACTAATGTAATGTTTCATATTATGTTCTAGATTTGAGTGAGATCATTCATTCATCCATGAAAGTAGCACCGATGTTCAGTGACTGAGTGATTATTGCTCCGTTTTAATTCGACTCACGTTTGGTGATTTATTAATTCTCATCCCTGCAATCAGGAGGCTTTTGAGATGCATGTTACAGAGGAAGAGGAGGATGAAGGGGATGAGAGTCGTCACTCTTCCTCCTCTGACACACTAACATGCAGTATACCAGAGGTAAATCTTTGAAACGATCCAAACCTGAGCGTAACTGAAAATCTTTACATCTCCTATTATTTACAAAACATCCTCTTTAATTCTGAAAAGGAATAACAATTCTTTTTATATTTATCAAGCTTCCTTTTAATGATTTTCAAATAAAATTCATGCATGTATCCTTTGCTACTAATTAAATTAACTCATTTTTGCATGAAGTGAAGCTGCACCGGACGGGTTTCTGTCTCTCCTTAGAAACCTGCTCCTCTGCTGTCAGGAGCAGCTGCTTGAAACGTTTCCTTTCATCCATACACTCAAAACCAGAAGGTCATGTTTGAATAAATGTGTGGGCGTGGATTTTATTTGCATTTCTATTTTCACAAACTCACCAGGACCTGGAGGAGACGCTCAATCTTCCAGATGAACCAAGGGAGGACATGGTAAAAAATATTGGAAACATAAGGATGTGAGGATTTATTCCTAAAAAAAAACAATTACATGTTGGATTAAAGTGATTCATTGTGTTTTAGGAGGAGCAGAGTGCAGCTTATCAGGCTGAAAACAGTTCAGACGAACCTGGAATCAGTGTTTTATGTGTGAAATCTGGACTTGATGACAGTTTTGGACCCGCATCTTCAAAACTGGACTTGAACGCTTCCCAGACCTTTCATTTTGAAAAAGTAGAGAATGACGTAAAAGACGAAGATGTTGCAGGATCGTCAGAGCAGAAAACGGCTGACGTCGATCCACAAATAAACCCGTGTTTGATGGAAGCTGCGGTGGGAGACACCAGGCTGATTCCTTCGAGACCCACAACTCCGTTTTGCTCCAAAAAAGCCTCGGATGAGCTGAGAGAGGAGGAAGACGACCGTCTGTCTTCATCTTCGGCTGACCTTTCACACCCGGTGAGTGTCCAAGATTAATTGAAATTAAAAAAATGCTAATTTTTAAACTGTAATCCATCAAATGTGGCTGTTTTTCTCTTTAATCTTCAGGGAGTGTTAAACAAACTGAAGGAGCAAAAAGAAGTCAGTCCAAGTTCAGAACCTCAGAAAACTGAAGCATCATTTGGGTAACAAACTGCAAACGAGAAGAGAAAATGTTTTCATATTTTAGTTTGTTCAAACCTACAGCACACCCGTCCTCATTCTGTCCTGCAGCTCTCCTGATGATGATGATGATGATGATGATGATGATGTGGAAAATCAGCATTGGACTCATATTCGGTCCCATGTTGGGAAAAAAGTGAGCACTTTGAGGAAAGTTTTGGAGGAGCAGAAAAACACGATCGGCCCTCAAGACGGAGGAAAAAAGAAAACGGTTAGAAAATACGTGAAAAGTAAATGTGGAGTGACAAAATACCGAACTGAATACAAGTTTTCCATTTCAATTTAGCTACAAATTTAAGTTGTTAATTTTAAATAAAGCAGGGTTAAAAGAGTTGAAGAAAAAGGAAGAAGAGTAAATGATTTTTTCTACTTTAAGAAGAAGACTAGGCAAAAAGAAAAAAAAGATTTAAATACATAAATTGATCTAAAATGGTGCCTCTTCTTCTTCTTTGGTTTTTTGTTCAGGTTCCAGGAAAAGATCCCGTGTCTGCAGGATCTGTTTCATCGGTTCTACAGCAAATAAAAGACACAAACGCTAAGCTGAGACAAACGTTACATGAGGTACAAAGAGTTTAATCTGAAAACAGTTCAATTCTCAACCTGGTAATTTTTACAGATTTTGTTGATTATGTCCAGTAAGTAATATTTAATAAAATCTAACAAGATAACAAAGCAGCTAAGATGATATGTAAATGATTTTTTTGTAATTACTTCACTTTTTCAGTCAAATTTTGCTATATGACTGACAAAAAGTGACCTGTAAGGTTTTCTATGAGTTTATATGAATTACAGGTGTGTATTGAACGCTATGAGTCACATGTGCTAAATTATATATTACATGTTATATTATAGAAGCTTGTTTTAGGTCAATAATTCTTGAACACTGATAAAAATGCAATAGTTATTACACTTACAACATGTGAAAAATGTCTTGCTATAAGTGAAATAATCTGCCAGTGGAACTAGAACTTGGTTGCTAGGTGACGGGCTGGGCTTGGCTGGCGTTGCTAGGTAACGGCGCCAGTGGAACTAGAACTGTTTTGCTTAATTATTTACTTAAATCAAGCTCCTATATCTTGCTGAAAAGCTACTTGTAAGTTAGTTTTGTCTTATTCCAAGTGAACCAAGATATTTTTACTACAAACTAGACCAGAAATACTTGGTAAGATTTTGTGGTTTTGCAGCGTTTAAGTGATAAAAAGAGAATTTAAAAAACTAGAACCAGAACAGTTTGATTTGTAAAATATTCAAGAAGTTGTGATGCTTTTCTTTTCTCTAATTGGTTTTGCTCTATTTTATGTTTGTCTACCACATAAAATCTCAGTAAAAAACTGAAGTTTATGTTTGTAATGAGGAAAAAGGATGACTGTAATTTTGGTAATCCCGAGGCGAAGGCCTCAGGTTCTTCTCATCCAGGAGTGAAGAAGAAGTTCGGCGAGGCCGTGCAGAGCGTCGTGACGTGTCTGGACTCATCAGCCGACCTGCTGACCCCTGATGGACCTGCAGCAGCGGATCCGCAGCTGAGGCTGCTGCAGCTGGAGGTGGCTGGCCATCATCGACCTGCTTAAGTTACAATAATATCAGCAAACCTGAAAATACAGCTTAGTGCAACACAGAGGAGGGGAGTACTGAAAACTGTACTCAAGTAAGAGTAGCACTACTTAATCACACTTTTAATCCAGTAAAAGTAAAGTCAAATTATAATTTAACCTTTAAAAATTACGTAATCAGATGGACCAAAATGTAAAGCCAAGTTAAAATGTTGGTATTGTAAGGACCAAAATGAAAACATTTCATATAACAAAAAAATAACAAAATCAGACAAAATAAAATGTTTCCAAATCAGTTTCTTTAAATATAAAACTTACAAAACTTTGACAAAAACTGAATGTTTGAATTTTTGGTTAGAACATTTTTGTTTGTCACTTAGTGGGTAGGAAATCCAGAAATTTTACTCAAGTAAGAGTAGAGATACTTCATAATAAAATGACTCAAATAAGAGTAGAAAAGTATTTGGTTTACTTAAGTACAGAGAACGTGATCAAATTATCAGTCGTTTAAATTTAAAAAACTACATCGTCAAAATCTAAAGTTAGGTTGAAATTTTAAGGACCAAAATAACAAAAAAAATAACAAAATTAGACACACACAAAAAAATCAAAATCAGTTTCTTAAAAAAAAACATATGAAACTAACAAAAACTTCAAGTTTGTGGTGATTTTTGTTTTTTACAGAAAATTTTTACTCAAGTAAAAGTAGCGATACATCATAATAAAATAACTGAAGTAAAAGTAAAAAGTACCTCTAAAAACAATTTGTTTCAAAAAAAGGTGTAAATGTAATTGGTTCCTTCCCAGCTACATTTCAGTTTTGTTTTCCTTTGTGTTTGTTTCAGAGTTTATGGGCTCAGCTGGAGCCTCTGGCTGAGCTGGTGGCTGAAGTGGAAGCGCAGATCAAACCTGCTCTCCTGATGGGAGAATCAGACGCTCACAGCGGTTTGGCGCCGCTGGACGATTTTGCCCAGACGGTGCAGCTTCTCCTCACCTCCTCCCACAGTCGGCTGCTTGAGCGCTCAGGACTGCAGAGCCAACATCAGGTTTGATGTGTTGCAAATCAATGCCAAGCTTTTCCACATGTATAGAAAATTTCTCTCTTTAAATGCAAAAAACATAGACTATCGTTTAAAGGGGTCGTATTTTGTAAAATTATGCTATAATGTTATTTTTGCCTTTATTCTTTCATGCTTGTTTGGGGAATTTTTCAATCTCCATGGCAACCGTTCAGCTGTGGAAAATGCCTGCTTTCACTAAGCGTCTTTTTTTTTTTTTCTCCAACAAAGCTCCTCACAGCTTCAGTTTCCAAGTTTCTAAGCTTCCACCCCACTCAGCTCCTTCAGACTAGCCAGCAGCAATTAGCAAACATCTGGTCAGACTTTGTATCTGCTGAAGCTACTTCTCAGTGAAACACTGGTAGAAATGTTGCTGGAGACATTTTTTTTCCTTTGGTCCAGCATTTATTTAGAGCAAAAAGCTACTTGAAACAAATTAGCTTATAATTTTTTTAAAGAAAGAAAAGCACTTTTATGTTTTAAAATGTTTTTTTTTTACACAAAAGGAATGAATGATTTTTCAATAGAACATATTGTTTGTAGTAGAAAGTTATCTCCAAAAATAGCCAGCATAAAACTTAAAAGTTACAATTTAAAAAAGAAAGACAATTCTTTTTAAAAATGCTTTACATATATTTTTACGTTTACATTTTAAAACAATAGTTCTTTAGGATTTTTGACCAAAGTTATTAATTTGGCCCCGCGCTTCGAGTTTAACACATATGCACAACATCTCTGTAGCTTAAGCTGAAATAGTAAAACTTTGTAAGAACATGTAGCCAAATAACTCATTAGTAAATGTTTAATGATGAAATTAACGATTAAATTCCGAGTTTTCTGTGAAAAAGCTGATAAAAATCAACGTCTTTCTCTCCGAACTGCAGACTCTTCCCCCCTGCCGGCCTCGTCTCCTGGATCCGTTTGACGCAGGACTTTGTGAGATCTTCCCAAACCTGAAGGGTCCGCTCAGCTTGGAGGTAGCAGCCGCTGCAATTTAGCTTTCTGAAAAAGTTTTCAAAAATTTTGCAACAAAATTGCAAACATTTTCGTGACGTTTTAATTATTTTTTTCCCCGTTTTTCTGAAAGTTAAACCCATAAATATTCTCACCTAACTCTGGTTCTGTGTATCGTCCCAGTGCGAGCCGGGCGGAACAGAGGAGGCGCAGCACGCCTCCCAATCCTTGCTCCAGGGGATTTCACGCCTCTTGAAACGCTGTGAGGAGAGTTTAACAGAAAAACGGACGAGCCTTTTTCCCAGCCGCAGCAAACTTCAAGCTGATCTCTGCAGACGCGAGGTATCCGATTATGCAGGCAAAGCCCAGATTTAAGTCAGAAACTCCACTTTTTCCACAAAGCGAGTCCAACCTCCAAGAGTTTATGATTCAGGACCTCCAAACGTCTTGTTTGTTGAATTATTTACAGTTTAATTCACTTTTGTCACAAATCTGGATTCATTACGCAGAAACTCCTCCAGGTCCTCGGATCCCAGCTGTCTTTTCTTCAGTATCTATTCCAGCATGAACCTGATGCACTTAGCAGCAAACAGGATGAATGGGTACATCTGGAAGTCAGGGCCAAAGCTCTGCAGCAGCAACTTCTGGAACAACAAGTGGCTTCTCAGAAGACGCTTCAGGTTTGTAATGTTTGTTTGCTGAAGGCCATTTGAGCTTCTGCTCACATAAATGTGTGTCTTTGTTGTGTCTAAAAATCTGTTCTGGGGCTTTACTAAAATGTATCAACATTTCAACATTTCAGTATGTTTGCCTTTGCTATAGGACTGGACCCACTGGGAGCAACTTTGTGGTCAACTTGGCAGCGTGTTGGATGAGTCTGAAGCTTTTTTTAGCGCTGGAGAGCCAGAGGGAGACGATGAGGAGGAGACGGTGCAGCGGAGGCTACATGCCTGCGAGGTAAGTCCAGTGGAAACTTCACACAGTTTATCCTCATTTCTTCTCTCTGGTTGCCTAGTTACCCCTTTTCCCCAACTAAACAGAAGCACAAATAAACAGGAAATACAGATCTGTGGAGGGGGAAAAAGAAAAATGCCGTTGAGATTTTAAGAAAACTATTAAAGGAGAGAAGGGCGCAAAAAACATGTTGCATTAACAAATAATGAAACAATAATTAAAATTTAAAAAGGACAGAGGGCTTTTAAGTTTAAGAAATAAAAACACACTCTGTTTTCAAACAAATGGGAAAAAATACTTATAAAATAGTAAAACAATTCTCAAAACCATGAATATTTACCAAAGTGGACATGTTTTTATAAACAAACAAAGTTAATACAGAAATCATGTATCTGCAACTCTAGACATAGAAATTGGTTTAATGAATCAGATTTCTTTGGGAAAGAGCACGTCAACATACATTTTGTCATTATTTTACACTTTATTTACTGTAATGTATCAATTATGTATTTTCCTGCTGAAATTTAAACATACAACGTTGATTATTTTTATTTATACACCATATTTTCATCAAAATAAAGTTGTTTCTTTTGAGTTTTAGAGAAAGTAATCAGAAGTTTTGCCGTTGTTCAAACTCGACATAAACCTCGTTCTGCTCGTTTCGCAGCGAACTCTGATCCGGCTGGAGGAGAGCCGCTCCGTGTTGGGCTCGTTTTTGGATCACAGGCTGGTGCTGCAGGCAGAGCTGTGGTTCGGTGCCTCGGTTGCGCAGGAAGGGGGCGCTCTGGAGCTGCGATGGAAAGGCGCCTACAGGCGCATGGAGCAAGAGATCCTCCGCCTAAGAAACATCCAGGAAAGCAGAGCCAGGTGGGCCAGATGCAGCATTACCAATTTAAAGCATGTAATCAGGAGAAAACATGTTTTGTACAAGAAGCAGAAGAGCAGAATTATTATGGCTGGAGCTCTTGACGAATTGAAATAACCAGATGAGCAGCTTTATTTAGAACCACACTGCAGAAACACAGTTACCAAGTATCTTTGTCTAGTTTGTAGTGCAGATATCTTAGTGAACATGAGACAAAACTAACTGACAAGTAGCTTTTCAGCAACATATAGGAACTTTTTTTAAAGGTTTTATTGGCTCTGGTGGCCTTTTTCTGACAGTTAATTTACAGGAAAAGGGCAGTGAGAGAAGGGGAAGACATGGGGCAAAGGTCGCCAGGCCGGGAATTGAACCCACAAATTTTTTTAAGTAAAGGATTTCTTAATATTAATGAAAAAGTATTAGTTATAAATGAAGTAATCTGCTAATGGAACAGGACATTTTCCCCATATTATAAGTTATAATAGTGGAAAAATGTATTTTAAAAAAAAAGAACAAAAACACCCAGCTGTTTTTTGACAATGTTTCTTTTTATTTTTTTATTTTTTTGGTGTCTGTTACCTAGCAACCCCAGCAGAGTTCCAGCTTGTTACCTAGCAACCCAGGCAGAATTCCATACACATTTTGCCAGCTGGTTTTACTCTGCAAGACAAGTGAATTGTTGTTGACTTACCATCCAGAAACCACTTGCTGCATTCTTGCTGGTTGTGCAGGAGGCTCCACTTCTGTTTTTCGAAGATCTACAGTTGTATAATTAGGGGGCGTTGCCAGCAGCAGCTCATTTGGATTTAAAATGACAAGAGCCCCTAAAACGGCTCGTTTTGAATGCTCAAAGCAAACTGAAATCTCATTATCTAAGAATAATTTTGTGCAAAAAAATGTAAAATGAACACATTTTGAACATGTTATGAACAGCCTTCTCCATATCCAAGAACTAAGAATCTTAGTTCTTGGATAAGATCCAAAAATCAGTAAAGTATTTTTTAAATTTTTAAAGTATTTTTGGATTTGAATTTGTTTTGTATAGCACACAGACCAATCCTCTCCTGTTCAAGGAAGCACAACACGTCTCCTTCTTTAAAACAAAGTAGAAAAGAGAAAAAAAAAAAACATATGTCTGAATCGGGTTCTCTGCCTTAAAAAATAAAGTTGTGTAACCTTATTTGTTGCTTGGTAGCTTCTCCCGTCTCAAGTGGGCTGCAGTTCTTCTTTTAGCTTTTCTCTTTCATCCAAACAGCAGCACAGCACACACAGAACCACAGAACATGGAGTCTGAACCTGCTCCTCTGGAGACGGGCCGATGTAGAAACCAAAAATCACAACGTGTTGCACCAAACGTCACTGAGCATCAAAATATCCCGCAAAAATTAAAATTAACAAGATATTGACTGCATAAAAGGATCAAGGTTGCAGTTTTATAGTTTCCTAACTTTTTTATTTTGTTTAAGAATATGTTTTCATTATTTTCCTACCAATTTATATGAGAACTTTGCTCCGAAAGCCTTGCTGTATTAGGATAATTTCATTGAACTGTTTTTTATTGCTGTTTTTGAGCAAAGCAAAAACAAAGCATTGCTAATAAAAGAACATTTACCATTTAATAAGTTACACATCTGAAAATCTAAAATACTTCAGCTCCATTTGGTGGCTAATTTTTACTCTTCTTGATCTGCAAAAGGGGCCACACAAACTCATTACAAGGGCCATAAATGGCCCTCGGGCCACACTTTGAGCACCTCAAGTGTAAAACTTGAGATTACTTTTGCAGGAATAAATAATCTGAAGCTTTAGTTGTATTTTATTAATATTTTCATCTTCACTTTACATAAGAATCCAGCAAAAATATTTTCAAAAAGTTTTGCAGCAGGTTTATTTTACTTTATGTGAATCCAAATATAATTTGTTGCTAAATTTATAAAACAAGCCAAAAAGAAAGATAAAAAGTGTTTTTTTGTTTCCAAGCACAACCTTATGAGAAAAAAATAGAGTACAAATGTATATAACTTAAAATTTTATGTTTCACATTGTTTTTTTTATGTTTCTGCTCATAATTTCTATAAGAAAGTTGTATTTTTGTCTTATTTTATGCATATTTTAAAAATAAGGAGAAGTAGTTAGTTCAGTTTGATGCCATAAATCTAATATTTGTGTACCTTTTCAGTCAAGCTGTTTAAAAGTTTTGATTGCTTGATTTTTGTTTTATTTAATCATTGAAACACTAACAGTTTAAAGAGTTTTGATTGCCCATAAATCAAGACGGTGGAGTGAGCTGGGAACAGTTCAATCTCTGACAAAAGACTCTTTGAAGCAGTTTAGAGACGTCGAGTCAAATAACATCCCTAGTTGTTAGTTTGCTCATCTGAGTGGGAGGAATTCATGAATATACAGTTCGTCTTATTTCTGGATTCAGGACAACAGACGGAGAAAGAGTTAAAAGAGAAGACAGGTACATATAAGAAAAAATAAAAAGGGAGCTTATCTTTTATTTTCATTTTGGCCTTTGGACATCCACCAACTGGCCTTTGGTGTGTGTGAGGGGGCCTTCATGTTCTGCCCCGCTGGTTGATCTATCAGTCCTGGCTGTCCTCCCCACAGATTCCTGGCTGGCGTTGCTGCGGTCGGTGAGCGTCTGCTGGCCGCCGGCGAACACCTGAAGACTTCCTCAGACCTGAGTCAGGAATCCGTTCAAAGGCGACTGCTGGAGCTGCTGGTGAGGCGCTTATCTGCTGCTCCGCCTGGGTTCATTAGGAGCGAGCTGCAGGACGCCAGGCTGCTGCTTTCAGGGGTGATAAGAAGAGCAGAGGCTTATTATGGGTCTATTATTGGTTTATTATGGTTCTGTTATTGGTTTATTATGGGTCTATTATTGGTTTATTATGGGTCTATTATTGGTTTATTATGGTTCTGTTATTGGTTTATTATGGGTCTATTATTGGTTTATTATGGTTCTGTTATTGGTTTATTATGGGTTTATTTTTGGATTATTATGGGTCTATTATAAAGTTTGTATCATGAGCATCCATCCATCCGTCCATCCAGAATGACTGAGTACTCAGAAAATTTCACTCTCATAAAGTTTGTAATTTGAATAAAAAATGTGCAGATCCCCATGTAAGGAAACATGGCAGAGTAAAGCCAAGCCGTGCGTGCGTTCATTCATTCATTCATTCATTCATTCATTCATTCATTTATGTTGCGGTCTCTTGTCTCTTAAAAATGAGACACATGGTCTTATTTTTAAGGGAGATCTGCTTAAGCCACTGTTCGATGTAAAATACAATTTACTGTCAACAAAAATCCTTCAAATGATAAAAATGATAAATATTTAAAATCTGTTTAATCAAACTGACCACATTAAACCACTAAAAGCATGATAAGATTTTATCAGGTGTCCGTAGTTTAATAAAACCTAAAATAATGTTCCAAACATATTAATTATAATTATTCCAACATTGTCAACCTTTCCCCAGGACGTCTCCGTGGAGCTGACAGCCGTTTCCAAGGAAACCAGTCGGCTTGTCCACCTGAGGGACGCCAAGTGTCCCAAACTGACAAGCCAGGTCTCACAGCTGGAGGCCAGCTGCAGCCAGCTGACCTCTGCCCTTTCCAAGATGCTGGAGCATCTGCTGCAGGTTCAGTGTTTCAGTACTCAGAGAAAATAACGTTTTAAATTAACTAAGATAAACAGATATGAAGCAGCTGAGAGTGTTTGAGAATGTGTCAGATTTCATGTTAGTTCTGTTAGTTTTCAGAAATAATTAGAACCCCCCTCTGCTGCTGGGAGTATAAACTTAAACGTCTTCTGGGCGATCAGAGACGGGAGGAATCAGCAGGAAGGTCACTCTTAATTTTTTCTCTCCATTCATCACCGGTGACTGGAACCAGATATCTGGCTTCGCTATAATTAGTCACATTTTGCCAGATTTTTTTCTCCCAGTTGGTTGAGTTTGAAGCCTTATAATCTGGAAACCGCTTCAGCAGATCTTATCTTCTGAAGAGAGATTTAATAACAGACACTGACGATGTTCTCCTTATAAACACCAGATGTTTCATGCAGAATTACTTTGATTAAGAGCAATAAAACCCACCAGGAGAACATTTCACAGATGGTTATGTGAAATGAAAATCAGTTATTGTTATGTTGAATTATGTTTGTTAGCGCCTGGTGAACCAACAGCCGCCAGTGAAGCTGCTGTCTGAAGTGGAGAACTGGCTGAAGGAAACGGAAACTCGGCTCAGCCGGGAGACAAAAAGAGTCCTGACGGCCAGAACTGCAGCTGAGATGGTTGAAATTCTGCAGCAATGTCAGGTACTTTATGTGTTTTATGCATTCATTTAAATAATAATTAAATTAAAGGTGCTTTTTTTTGTCAGGATTTCTGTTTTAAGCTGAAATACATAGTTTATATTCTAACTTACCATATTTACATTTCTCCATGTTCCAAACCACAATTGTAACTTTACTGATATTTCATGTGACAAGTTAACATAAAGTAAGTCCGACTGTAAAATCAGAAGAAAACAATGCAAGTTTTACAAATTAAAGATGTGATGTACATTTTTACTTAGCCTCCCTGAACAAAGAAAGGATTGTCTCTCTAAAAACTGACATTTTTATTTGCAGAATTTCTTATTTTTAGTCAGATTGAATGGAGGTAGTTTTATTTTCTCTGCTGAAGAAAACAATTCCCCCAGCATGATGCTGACACCACCATGTTTCAAAATGGGGATGGTGTTTTCTAAATGTTGTGCAGCCTTTGTTTTGTAGACGTAGAGATTAAAAAGAAGGTCAAAAAGAGATTTTTGCTCTCATCTGACCAAACCCTTCACAGGTTTAATTTCCCTACATGGTTTTTACTGCAAAAACACAAAATATTACCACATATTTGCCATTGAAGAAAATACTTTTTTCATCAATATTAATGAATTATTTACTTAAAACTAGCTCTTATCTCTTGCAGAAAATTTACTTTTAAATTAGTTTTGTCTTATTTTAAGTGTACTAAGATTTTGTGGTGGCTTAATAAATCTGTAAAAAATTATAATTTTCTTTCTACTTTACAATTAAATGCAGCTTTGTCTCGGTTTATTGCATAAAAACATTAACGTCTGCAGTGGGACAAAGTATGGTAAAATGATGATTTGAATTTATTGTTCTGTACAAAATCTCAAAGGAAGAAAGTAAGTGTAAAATTAAGAGCTTTTAATAAATAAAATTAACCCTTATGACAAATAAATTCCTCATATCCCCTATTTTTCAGGCGTTGAGGACGGCTGTCGACAACTGTCAGCAAGTCCTTGATTTCATGTCCGAGCCAGGGTCCAAAATGGCGGGAGCAGACGTCCCGGCTCGCCGCTTGGAACGCACGACCTTTGCAGAAAACCTGGGCGGCGTCAGACAGCAGTGGGAGCTCCTGCAGAGGGAGCTGGACGGCCAGGTCAGCGCCTCGGTGCAACCCGAGTCAAACGGGACTCACTATGCAAAACTCACATTTTTTACATCTTTGTACTTCCATTTGGGTCTGACCTGCTTCTAAAAAACCATTTGTCGACAATACGTTCATGTTTCTTTTTTTTTTGTGTGTGTTTGCAAAATTAGCCGTTTAAAAAAAATCACAATTGTTAAGTGGTAGTGCGCTGTTACCTAGCAACCAAAACGGAGCTCCAGCATATATGGTCAGCTGGTTTTACCGCCGTACAATGGCTTCTGGAAAACACAAGCATTTTGTTGTTTACGTGACATCCAGAAACCACTTATTGGTTGTGCAGAGGGCTCCACTTCTGCTTTTCAAAGATGCATGTTTATATAATTGCACATCTGTTTTCGTCCATTTTCATGTGCAAGTTTAACCGTCGAGTTTACAGCAGCTGGTTTTTGGATTTAAAGTGATTTAAAGTGATAAGAGGCCCTGCTCTGAAACGAGCAGACCACAAGTCTCATTATATAAGAATGACTTTGTCTAAATAATGTAATGAAATGTTTTTATAGAACATAGTTCTGTGCCAACCTGTTCAAGGACACATAAAGTGTCACCTTTAAGTGTTGCTGTTCAAACTAGTTTTATTCAAAATGGAGATATTTAAAGACAGATTGTGTGCTACAATTTATCAGTTTATAGATTCAACATATTGTTAAATAATGTGTCCAAAATGCACGTGTTCATCTTTAGTAACATGAAACCAATGACTGTGTTTGAATTGGCTCCATTGCTTTTCCTCAGATTCATGAAGTCGAACACATCCATCACATTTGTGCAGAACGAGAGAGACATCTGCAGAAACGGCAGGACTGGACAGAGCAGCAGAAGAAGAGGATGAGTCAGTGGAAACGGCCCTGCAGTCAAACCCTGGCTGGCTACGCTCTGCTGGAGTGGGAGGTATGATGGTGGGAATCACACAGAGCGACGTCTGGATGCTGTGGACGGTTTTCTATCTGAGTGACTTTCTGTCTTCCAGGCTGAAGTTGCCAGAATCCAGCAGGTTTCTGCAGATCTGCAGGATCTGGGAGAAGGAAGAGGAAGAGGAGGAAGAGTGTGTTATGGGAAGGAAGGGAAGCTCCTGTGGGAAGAGATCTTCTCCGGCCGAGTGGAGAGTGTGAGGCGGGACTGTGTTGATCTTCATCAACAGGTAAAACAACCTCAAGGTCACAGATTTACTCACTGAGAAGGAGCCATGATGGATTTAAAGGTTCTGCAGGTTTGGACGAGTTTGGTGGACAGGAGTCCATAAATACTCCATCCATCCATCCATCCATCCATCCATCC